CACAGCGCAACTGCGCCCCCCCCCGTCGACAAGCCACTAGCTCCCCCTGCCATGGTCCTTCTGCCCCCTGCACAGAGCCATTGCTGCCCTCAGCCGAGCCCCAGGAGGCGACGTTTCTTCCTGTACCCGGGTGCAGTAAAGTCCTGCACTGTCCGCTTTAGGGGCATGCGAGTCAGAGGGCGGGGGCCCTGGGCAGAGGCCTGCGGCCAGCGGATCCTGCAGCTCCCCCCGCGACAGAGCCGGTGGGTGAAATGGGGGAGCTTCGTTGCTGTGGGCTCATGGAGAAATCCCTTCGCTCCTCAGGGCGCAGCCGCTCGCCTGGCTGCAGAGTGTGACACATGCGCAGAGTCCGGGCTGTGCCACTGAACACCCGTCCGGCCTCACGCCCCTCCTTTCTCCTCTCTCCTCTGCAGACATAGACGAATGCGCCGAGGGGAGGGTTCACTGCAGCCCAGACCAGCTGTGCTTTAACACGCGGGGCGGCTCCCAGTGCCTGGATGCGCCCTGCCCTGCCGGCTACAGGAGAGGCGCCAGCCCAGGGTAAGGGAGAGAAGTTATTTGGGGGAGGTGCCCAAGTAGGGCAGCTGTACCCCTTCTCCTGGAGTGACCCACCCGCCAGGGCTCTTCTTAGCCCTGCTGTCGAGTTGGGGTGGTGAGGGCTTCCCATGGGTGCAGACGGGCACACGCCCATTTTAATGCATTGATAGTACTTGTCCCACATCAAAGCGCTGAGACGTGCCAGGGCTGACCCTGCTTTTCCTGGGGGGGAAACTGAGGCACGGACTGGCTCAGCGAGTTGTCCAAGGCCACTCAGCAAGCCAGAGTTAGAACCCAGGCGTCCTGGCTGCCAGCCCTACGCTCAGGCTGCAGACGGCTCTGTGGAGCAGAGATCTCACCCGCGTTCTCTGCCCTGCCTGCTCTCGGGCAGAGTGTGCTTCCGCCGCAGCTCTGGAGGCCCCTTCACCCTGCAGTACGAGCTTCTCACGCTGCCCTTTGGCATCCCGGCCGGGCACGATGTTGTCCAGCTCACCGCCTCCTCCCGAGGGAGCCTCCTGCAGAACCGCACCGTCTTCACGCTGCTGGAAAAGGACCCGGGCAGCCCCTTCACCCTCCGGGATGAGAGAGGCCAGGGCGTCCTCTCCACGCTGCGCCCGCTCCACGCCGCCGGCATCTATCGGCTGAAGGTGCAGGCCCTGGCCCATGGCAAGCAGCGGGCATGGAGTGTGTTCATCATCCTCGTTTCCGTCTCACCCTACCCCTACTAATGGCAGCCAGGGGGCGCTGGGATGGGCAGGGGAGGTGGGGAAGTGCTGATCCTATGCCCCAAACCCTGCCAGACAGTGTCTCCTTCCACTTCTGCTCCTGGGGCCATCTCCCGGCAGGCGCACTCAGCTCATCTGAGAGGAGCTTCTCCCTTTGCTCCGTCCTATGTGTGCGCTTGGGATGCCCAGGGCCTGTTGCCTGCCCTCAGCTCCGTGCCCCGCTGGAGGGCCCCTCTGGTTCCTGTACAGCACCCCTCCTTTGGCTCCCAGCCAGGGTTGCCAGCCCTGCAGGATTGTCCCGGAGTCTCCAGGAATTAAAGATTAACCCTTCATTTAAAGGTTATGTCATGTGATGAACCCTCCAGCAATACATCCCACCAAAGCTGGCCCCCTTCTCCCAGCCCAGTGGCGTAATCCCTTGGTGAGCTCAATTGCACTGACCCGTGGGACCAGGGCCAAGACAGTTTGAGGCCCCCAAACACTGACCTCCCGTTGACTGGACTTAGCCCCCATCGCTTCACCTCCTAGCTCAGCAGAGGAGTGTGTGCTCAGGCTCTGCCATTGGGAGATGAGGGGTGTAAACATCAGATGCTACTGGCACTTGTCTCTTGCAACACGTGGCTGTCCTTGGGCCTGGTATCACATGCAGCTTTTGAGCAAACAGAGCTGCTTGCAATCAGAGCTGAGATACTGAGAGCCCGGCCGGGGAAGCTGCCAGGCGGCTGTTAGGTCTTGGCTCTCAGGAGAAGCCTGTGACTCGCCTGAGAGATGCTGGAGATACGAGGCCATAACTCTTCAGTTTGCATTGGGGTAGCAGCTAGACCCCGTCTGAGATTGCAGCCCCGTTGCTCAAGGGTGGGAGAGGAAACGGAGGCCCCAAGAGGTCGCCAGCAAGTCAGTGCCCAAAATCAGGCAGAGAACCTAAGTCCCCACCCGGTGCGCGCTCAGGCTCCTCGAACAGCTGTGGCCCTGCCAACATGCAGACTGCTGCTTCCAGCATGCACTGTACCGTCTAGGGGGCTGGCCAAACGGGTCAAACAGCTGCTCCTAGGGGAGTGTGACGGCTAAATAGCCTGTCACAGCGCTGGGGGATGCAGAGGGTGAAAAAGCCCAGCTGATGTGGCAGGGCTGGGAAGGGAGTCGCGGGGCTAAAGGGTGTATCGCTCACCGCATATGGAAAGGTTATTGGGTCCCTTGTGCTCGGTCTTTTATTATAATGAAATTATCATACTGGTTTCTCTGCCAACTTATTTATTTCTGGTTTTGTACCAAATAAAGGTGATTTTGTGAGTAAAACAATCGTGTTGTGTGAGGGCATCTTCCTCCTGCACCGCGTGGCGGCCTTGCTTCGGATTTCAGACTGGCATTGGGGGCCCGATTCAGTCTCTGACCCATTCGTGTATCCTCAGTTCCAGACATTCCCATTGGCTTTGGTAGTCACAATGGTAGTGACACCTCTTCGCTCCTCTACAGTGCTTTCCAAAGGAGGGCAGTGCCATCTGTCCCCATTTTATAGATGGGGAAACTGAGGCACCAGGAGGTGAGTGACTTGCCATGTTTAACTTTTAATGAAAGAAGTGTCAGAGCTCAAACAGGTGGGGTTTTGTTTGTTTGTTTGACATTCATAACTGATGCAGCTAGCCCAGAGGTGCCGGAGCTAGCAACTGCCAAGCCCAGAGGTGCCGGAGCTAGGAACTGCCAAGCCCAGTACAAATTAAGCCCTGATGACTTGCCCAAACTTATTCATAAGAACACAAGAATGGCCACACTGGGTCAGACCAACGGTCCACCTAGCCCAGTGTCCTGTCTGCCGATAATGGCCAATACCAGATGCCCCAGAGGGAATGAACACAGCAACTAATCATCACGTGATCCATCTCCTGTCACCCATTTCCAGACAGAGGCTAGGGCCACCATTCACACCCATCCTGGCTAATAGCGACTGTCACCTGTGGCAGCGACAGGGCGCCAGTCACCACACGCCTCCCAGCTTGATCCCGTACTACTGAAACCAACGTGGGGTGTATCAGTGACTGTGGAAGATGCGGGATCAGGCCCCGAGTGCAGTTATGACCTGGGGGGGAATAAGCTGCAGGAACAGAGGGTCTTTAGCTTCTGTGGCGTGTCCAGGGAGCCAGTTGCTGGAGGCGAGCCCTGGAATGTAGCACGTACACGAGTTTCCCAGATTTCATCTGCTCTTCCCATTGTGAGCTGGGTCGAAGCTGCCTGCAGGGGTGTGAGACCTCTTCCTGGGGAGGGGCCCCACCTTGGGTCGGAGGGAGCAGGGCTGTCTGCTCACAGCACTGGTGGGTGGCACTGACTTCTGCAGTAGCACCGGCAAGGGGGTTCTGGGTCCTGGTTAGAGGTGACCTGCAACGTAACCGGGTGTATGAGATGGAGACAGGAGGTGGAAAGTCTCCTTCCCCTGCTTGTTTGTTGCCTTAGCAATATGCAGAATGTCTCATCGGCCTCCCGTTTAGCAGGAGGGGCGCCCGCTCTGGAGGCCTCTTAGGGTCATCGAGGGGGGGGTCAAATTGGGGCCATCTGAGATCAGGTTGAGACCACTGGGCTCATCTGCCCACAGAGGAGAAGGTGTTTGCACATCCCATGCCCAGCCAGAGAAACCACCCTCCCTGTGGGCCGGCTCCCCACCCCCTGGAGTCAGTGGGCAGAGGCCTGTTGGTTGCAGCAATAGGATGCTTAGACTAGCCTGGAAATTGCATCTGTGGAGGGAGGCTGGGCTGAGCCTTGTGGTGAAGGTCCCGTCAGTGTCTGCTAGAGCTGGCGCCCTAACTTTTTGCTTGCTTTGGGCCCTGTGCCTGGAGTGGGCTTACCTGGTGCTCAGGCCAGGCCTGGTATAAGAGCGCGACCTGCGCGCCGATAACCTGAACCTGGCCCCAGAGGCTTGCATCGTTTTCAGGCCTGACCCAGGCTTGCGTCAGCACTACTCCCCCTGCCTCGTGCATGGGCTCTGCCTGGGGAGAGTTTCCTGGCTCTGTGCCTGCGAGCAGCCTCTGTTCACCTCCTGCCCGGGGGGTCGGCGTGGTGGCGGCTGCGCTCTGAGTGCTGCAGAGCAAGAAGCGCGGCGACTTGTCAGCTCTCTCCCTGCAGCTGCAGTGAGGCGGTGGCAACCGGTAGGAGCCGGGAACCGGGCCAACCCCCAGGCAGGTGATTGGAGATGACCCAAACCCAAGGAAGTCTGCTTGTTTTCAGTCCTGAGCCGAAGCTGACTGTTGGACTCGGGTCCACGCGGGTTTGGGGGGTTGCAAGGCTATTCCATTGGTGCTGCTGTCCCTGCAAGGGCCTGGCCTGGGTCTTTGTGATTTGCCAATACTCACACATCGCTGAGTCACCCAGTGCCCCAACGCCCTGCAGAGGGGGGGAGTGTGTTCTTTGAAGTCAAGCAACCCAGTCATGACAGATCTTTGGGGATTTCAACACATCCCCTCCTGCGATGGCTCCAGCCCTGTGCAGCTGCCTGGTGTGTTGGGAGCGGGAATGTTTGTCGTTTACATGGGACAGGCTTGATCCTGCATTAGCTGGATGATTGAAACCCGTTGCTTTGCTCTTGCCGATGCTTCCCCTTTTCCCAGTCACCTGACCCCCGCAATGCCAACCCCCCCATGCTCTGTGCTGGATAACATCAGCCGACCCCCCCCCAGCTCCCAGCCAGCAAGGATACAGTAGAACAGGGAATCCGTATTAATGCCACTGCAGTCATTGGCAGCATGGGATGGGGGGTTCTCTCTTTCACTGCTCCCTCTTCTACGCCCCGCTGCTGCTGTGTTTTTGGGACAAGAGAAGTGGCCATGTTCCGGAGGGGGCTGCCTTTGGCTGTGGAAAAAACCCCCAATGTGCTGGGAATGTGGGTGCCACATACCTAATGCTGCCTAAAACAAGAGGGTGAGGTTGCCCTTCTCTCCAAAGCAGAGGGCTAATCTGCAGAGACTGCAGGTCCCTGCATGCCCTGCGCCATCTTGGGTCTAGGGGGTTGGCCAGATGGGTCCAACAAATGTTCCTAGGGGAGTATGAAGGTTAAAAATGTTACCTGGGAATTTCCTGCTTTGTTTTCAAAAGGGAACTGTCCTTTTCCCTCAACCTGCCCATAGCAGTGTGAGTCCTGGACCTGCTGTCTCTGAGGGTACGTCTAGACTACATGACTCCATCGACGGAGCCATGTAAAGTAGTTTACTCGGCATAGTCAATGAAGCGGGGATTATTTAAATCCCCGCTTCATTAAAATAAAAATGGCCGCCATGCTGTGCCGTCGATCAGCTGATCCGGAACAGCGCGGCAGTCTAGACGTAGTGCGGTTGACAAAGGCTTCCCTTGTTGACTGCGCCACGTTTAGACTGCCGCGCTGTTCCGGATCAGCTGATCGACGGCACAGCGTGGCGGCCATTTTTATTTTAATGAAGCGCCGATTATTTAAATCCCCGCTTCATTGACTATGCCGAGTAAACTACTTTACATAGCTCTGTTAACGGAGCCATGTAGTCCATGTAGATGTACCCTGAGAGCCATGTAGATGTACCCTGAGAGGATAGCACACTGGACTGCCACTGGACTGCTGTGTGACCTTGGGCAAGTCACTGTACCTCAATTTTTCCATCTGTTAAAAGCTTTGCAGTGTGATTGGAGATGAACTGGTGATAAGAGCTAGCTGGTAATATTATCATTGGTAGCTAAGATGCATCTGATGCGCCAGGTTGCGGATAAGTAGAAACCTCAGAACATATGTAATTAATGACAACATCCGGGGCTCATAAGTTAGGCATCAAGACACCATCTCCCTAACGACTTCCCAATTGGGTTAGCTCGTTGTCTTGGAAGAGATGTAGTCTGCAAAGGAAGCCAGGCCTGACCCCCGGGACATGCCTGTAGAGTTCATGCTGCAAAGAGAGATTTCTTTTTCTCCATGGATGTTTGATTTAACTCCTGGTTGGCTTTGCAAGGCCCTGCAGTGAATTCAGCGCTGGGGAAAGGCACCTGATGGATGCCTCTGGCGACTGAAGCCCTCTGGCTGTCCGGGGAAGGGGGCCAGCAGGGATGAGGCACAGCAAACAGCCCACGTGTGGCCTCGTATGCTCATCTGGCCTGGAAAGCGTCACCTCTAGGTAAGAGCCTAGAGCGAGACCCGTTCAGTCCTGTGGCCTCTCTGCTCAGCCAGGGCAGGGGACAAACAGCGCCCAGAGCAGCATGGCTAGTGTGGATGCACATCTGTGCTGGCACAAGTGTGACCCTGTCTCTGCAACTACCTGGCTCACTACTCAGCTCACTACTGTCATGGCAGCGAGTTGGGTAGCATAAACTGTCAGGTAGAAACCACTGGTCTCGAGCATTCCGCACAGCTGCCCTTCCCCTCGTCCCGTCCTCCCCCGCCAACTGCAGACAAGAGCAAATCAGTGTTTGCAGATGAGCTAGTCACAACGGCTGGAAGCAATGTCCTGGCCCGTGGCACAGCAGCCATGTGCTGCTTCCTTTGCAGGGAGAGAAATGCCAATGCACTGACAGTCCTGGAAGTAGGTTGCAGGCCCTTACAACAGCATGCCAGCAATTGGGCCATGCTGGCTGGCAACGACCAGGGTAACAGCAGCTCACCAGGGCTAATGGGAGAGGGCGCAGGGCTGCTGCTCCTCTTGCAGCAGAGAAGAGGAAGGAGTGGCTAGTTAGCTGCATTTGTCTTCATGAAGAGTCTGCAACCAAGAAAGCAGTGTTGTTGTGACAGGGCGAGCACTGAGCATGCATGGGGAATAAGCAGCTCTGAACGCTGTCAGCTGTTTAATAAAAATGCCTCCCAGACCCAGACAGGTGTGTATTCAGCTGGGAAGAACCTGTGACCTTGGATAGCTCAGGAAGATTGATCTTGTGGTTAATAATAAAACTTAGCCCTATTCCGCCACAGAGCTCAGCGTCTTACAGGTAGTTTTCCCATTTTACAGGTGATCTGTAACTATTGCGTATACAGCACGTGACACACGGCTACCAAAGTACTTTATGGAGAGAGTCACATTTACCAATGGGGAAACTGAGGCACGGGGAAAGTGTGACTCACCCAAAGCAAGGCATGGGATTCAGAAAATCTGGGATTTAATCCCAATTCTGCCAAAGATTCACTGTGTGACTGTGGGCAAGTCACCAAAGGCTAACATCTTCAAAAGTAGACACTAGTTCTGATGGTCTCCATTTTGACCAATTAGGACATCTAGGCCCTGATATTCTTAGGTGCTGAGCAATGGCAATCCAGGGGCTAAATTGGCCTAAATCCAGGTCCCTTTTCCTTGTGACTGTATCTCGTG